GGGATGAAAAACTTACTACAGGGAAAATGTAGTCAGAGTCACGCCAGGTCAGATTAAAAAAAATCTCTAAAATCATATTAAAATTCAGGAAAACAGAAAACACAGAATAGTCAAACATGTTATTCTTGGAATCTCAGTTGGTGAGCAAGTGTAACCTGATATTTTATCAAACTGCTTGAATATATTTAGCCAAAAATGTAAAAGATTGTGCAAAAAGCTTACTTGCACCATAACTACTACACTTAGTTGTAGTAGCTATGGTGTTTTCAGTGTCACCATTACAGATTTTAATATATCAACCTCTGGTATCTTGGTAAGCCTCTGGATTCAATTAAACTATAAACCAAGAGATAAGCACTAGCAGAACCACATAAATACAGGAAAAGATATAGACAGGAACACAATTAAACTTGATGGACTTAGTCTTGATGGACTTAGTCTTTTTTTCAACCTAGACAACTATGTAACAAGACAGACAAATAGCAACAGAGATATGGAGTTCTTCATAGTTCTGTGAAAATGTATCTTTGATGGAAATTCATTTCAACTTACATATACCAAAATATTTAAGCTCAAGGAACATAAAAGTTACAAATGACACAAGAACATCTTTTATGGTCAGCAGATGTATATGATGCAAGAAAAAAAAAGAAAAACCACAGTTATCAGATTTATAATTGAATTGAAATTGTTTAAAGGACCACTATAGTCACCCAGACCACTTCAGCTCAATGCATTGGGCTGGGTACCAGGTCCCACAGGTTTTAACCCTTCAGATGTAAACATAGCAGTTTCAGAGAAACTGCCATATTTATATTGCAGGGTTAATCCAGCCTCAAGTGGCTGTCTTCCTGACAGCCGCTAGAGGCGCTTCTGCGATGCTGAATGCGAAAATTGCATTCAGCGTGCAGAAAGTCCATAGGAATGCATTAAGAAATGCGTTCCTATGGGCGTTTTTAATGCACTCGCTGCTCTGGCCCCACATGCGCATTCCGCTCCACTCGGGAGCGGACGTCGGAGTGGGAGGAGAGGTCACCAGCACCGAGGGAGGCCGGCGCTGGATTAAAGTAAGTAGCTGAAGGGGAGCCCAGCGGGAGGGGGGGACCTAAGGGTTATATAGTGTCAGTGTTTACTGACACTATAGTGATCCTTTAATTTAGTTCTATGGGTCAAGTTGAAAAGTTAATAGGTTTTTGCACTTTATTAGTGTATGTAGCAAGGATATTTTTAAAAATATATTTTTCACATATTTTTTTTCAAACACTATAAAAATATCTATTAAAAACTCCAGCATCATAACAGCTATTTATATTTGTGAAACAAACTAAAATGTAAACTATTTTTTATATGTTAACAACTCAACACTCATTTACAAAGATACATTATAATCTGCATCTTTGACAACATGATGAACTATTGACAATTTTCACAAAAGTGTAGATAAGGCTAGGGCAGTGTGGACAACTAAGCCCTGCATTAACGTTGGGGTGTGCTTTACTACTGTTATCACTTAAAGCCGCAATAGATTCTTTGTTAAGAATAGGTCATAACTTCAAATGCAATTGTATAATTAGACCTATTTTCCAGCTCAGAAATAACTTGGCTTTTTTTTTTACATAAATGTTACGATTAAGCTTGAATCTTCTTCTAATACAGAGACTGCAGATGAATCTACAATTTGTAAACTGATTCAGTGCAGCTGTGTATGAAAATAAAACACACATGACCCATATGATATATACCCTTGTCGAGAACATAGCAGGTGGCCTTAGTTATTAAACATCCCTTTTGCAATGAGACTAATTCTTTATGTACAGAGGAAATAGTGCGGTGTCACTGCACAGCCACAATTGTCTGAGAGAAAGTGATACAGGTCTGGAATCAACCAGTACTAAATCACATTGCTTTGGTCTTGGTAGATGGCAGAAGCCAAGGTGCTGATTTTTACTAGGTCTTGCTTGTCATCACAGCCTGTGATTTGCAGAGCAAGGGTTAGACCTCCTTTTCCTTTATTCTAACAACTGCCAGAGGATTGTGTTACATTAGACAGAGTGAGGGCTGACAGGTCACGACCCTGGTCACTGTCACCAGCTTCCTGCTTCCTGTAGGCTGCATGCCGTGGGAATATTTGTTTTTACCAAATTCTTTACAATCAGTGGCAAACATATAACCATGTGAGAAATGAGAATTCAATGAGACTGTTGGTGGAGGCATATGATTTTAGGCTTTATTTTTGGAATATATATATATATATATATATATGGTGGAGGCATATGATTTTAGGCTTTATTTTTGGAATATATATATATATATATATATTCCAAAAATAAAGCCTAAAATCATATGCCTCCACCAACAGTCTCATTGAATTCTCATTTCTCACATATTGCAGACATATCACATATATACATAAATGGCTTTTTTTTTTTTTAACCTCTGTACCACTTGTGATAATTTTCCCAAAATGCCTGAATGACATATAGCATTGAAATTGCTATGTTGGATTATAATCCCAAAAGCAATTCCAACCCCGATTTCAGGGAATAGTTATTATAATTATTGGCATTTATATAGCAGTCCACAGTACTTTTCAATATTATAAAGGGAGAAATTATTAACTATTACAAATTGTGGCAGGAAAAAAAGGTTTATGAGGAGCCTTCTCAAATGAGTTTACAATCTAGAATATGTTGAATGTAAAAACATAAAAGAAAGGGTAGTGTTAGAGGTAGTACCCAACTTGTGAATAATGGTGTCATAATTTTTTAATCAAATTTGTTTGTGCTTCATGTAAAGTTAAGAAATGTCAGTGATACAGTATACATAAAATATATGATCTATTTTATTAAGAATACAATTTAGCTTACAACTTAAAGGAGCACTATAGTGACAGGAAAACAAACTCGTAGGGTTATTAGGACCCCCCTGCCGCTGGGCTGAAGGGGTTAAAACCTCAGAATGCCAGAGCCGCCCATAGGAAAGCATTACTCAATGCTGTCCTATGGACGTCCAGCGTGTCCTCAATGGATTAACCCTCAATGTAAACATAGCAGTTTCTCTGAAACTGCTATGTTTACAGATGCAGGGTAAAAACTAGGAGGACCTTGCACCCAGACCACGTCATTGACCTGAAGTGGTCTGGGTGCCTATAGTGGTCCTTTAATATAAAATTGTTTTTTTTTTTTTATATATCTCAGCATCATAAATAGAACGTTAGACTACCACCAAAAAACATCAGATGTAATTTTATGATAATATATTTAATGATATATACATATCACAGGGCACATATCACAGGTGCCTCATTCCAGGGCCTTATTTAAACTTGACCTACAGGGAGTCCCAGGAGGTAGCATTTCTCAAGTAAGTGGATTAATCTCATAGGAGCAGACATAAGGTTGTAAGAGTAGGACCTGCCAAGAATGGGGTACATTGACGTTATGGCAGTTTATGCAATGTATGATCATATACTGAGACTAAACCCCATTATTTTTTGCCTAGGTGAGGTGTTTTTAAATAAAACTATTACATTCCATGAGACTTAAAATTTCTGTTTAGTGAATGAGTGCTGGAATTTGTATATATCCCCCCAAATTCTGCATTCTTACTTGGTGTAATGCAAACGATTAGCACCAGGGAAATCTGTTATTTTAAAATTGATATTGCACTTTATATAAGTGTATGTTTGGGCCCTGGGATGGAACACTTGGAAGTAGCTGGGAGCCTGCAGGTGAGGAGTCCAGTTCAAGAGTTCCAACGCTTTAGTTTACTTCAGGTGCTGTTAAAAACTCCACTGCCAAGAAGGAGATCGGATCTTGTTTTTCTTACTGTGAAGTACAAAAGGAGCAGCTAAAAAAACTGAAAGGTGGTCATTTCTTTTGTGAAATGGACAAGCAATCCAACCATATTAATAAGAGCAAGGGTTTTGTTTTGCTTTATTTTGTTAGACTCAGCTGTACCCTGTTGAATTTTGGAGACACAATAAAAAGACCAAGTCATTTTACATTATCCAGCATGTGAAGTGTCTCTGAAGCTTGAAAAGACCCTGATGCGAGGACAAGGTACCAAATGAAAGAAGTAATTTTGTCCCAATATATATGCATTATATCAAAAACATTAAATATGATAATAGGACAAAATCTTTGAAAAAACTCAGTGGTTCACAAGAGAGATAGCAAACCCAGATGATCATTTCTGCCTTCTTTTGGCCTTATCAGTGTAGCTGGTACCCCTCTAGTTACACTGAGCATACGGTCCACACCTGGATTACCCTTTTAACTTGGGGAGAGCCAAATAATGTATTGCAACAAAAACAAAAACAAAGAATAAAAGAACTCTGAGAATGGACAAAAGCTTAGAGAAATTAAGTAGCTTGTCCTTGGTAAATCCCTGCTCAGTTCTCAAAATATATTTTTAAGCTGCACCATTACAGACAGAACATATTCCAAAGCACATCAGACTGATCCGACCTGTAAGGGCAGTCCAGATCTGAAATGCAGGCAAGTTCACTCTGCACAATAGATAGAGCTAACTGAACTCTAAACACTATAAGTGTATCTCCTCCGTTTTGTTTTTTTATCGCTTAATCACATTTGATATACTGCAGTATATACTCGTTATATATTTTCTTTTTTTTCTCATTCCATAGCAACATCTGAAGAATTTTTAAGGCTCCACTCCTGCTTTAAATTGTGTACATCTTACCTTTTACCAGAAAGCGGTATGACTGGAGAGACTCTGGTTTGGGTTGTTTGAGATGACTTCTAGATTAAACTAAAAGCACTAGAAAGCTACCACTTCCATATTTCTGAATACAGAGAATGGTGTCATTTTGTCCAGGAAATCGGCCAGGCACCAATGCAGAAGTGGGGTTTGTGAACAGTAACTGGGCTTCAAATATGGTGAAAGCTCTATGACATTTTTACTTTATAGGCATGCACAGTGCAACGTACATCCTATATCATCTTGTGAAGTCAGCACTTACCAACATAAATAATAAAGTGGCAATCCTACCTGAATGTTGTAGGAGATTTGCTGGGCATTTCCATCATTCATAGCATAAAGGTTAGCCCACTCTTGAGGCAGTAGCAAGAGAAGGTAAATCTTCCCACACACTATGGCAGATGTCAGTACACTTTAGAGATGCTGGAAAGGATTTCGGAGAAGCAGAGGGCAATTTATAGACTGGTGTTGGAGCAGTACACTGGTATTGTGTATCTGTTTGGTAGAGATGGTTAGACAGTGAGTGATAGGTCACCTAGTGGCAGTCCTTAAACTATTTAGGGATGCCACTAAAAACTTGAGCCACTGCACTGCCAGTCTGGGACAGGTCAACCCCAAGTAAGATGGATGCCTTCTTTGAGACCCAAGAGGTTCTGATGTAGAGGACCTAGTAAGGAGGCTCAAGGATCAGCTGAAAGATCACCTATGTGGATGAGTAGATCATTCTCCTGTACTTATGCTAGCTTGCACTTAAGTCTAATAGCCTGCCATTTGCATGGATAATCTGATTCAAAGGGTGCATGGCTTGGAGCAGAAGGAGGAATGCTAGCTAAGTGAGAAATGCAGTAGGAGCATAGGATGTTTGCAACTCCCTACAGTAGTTGCAGGAGTAGCACTACAACACAGCCGTTTGGTCTATATTTGGACCCACTCAAACAGCAAACACCAGAAAGGAGAGTAGTGACTCCAAAATGGTGAGAGTTCAGCTTTCTGAGCCTTTTGCCTCCTACAGTTGACCGTATTAGATAATGGGATGACAAGAACCACTGTCCAAATTGAGTGTGCTTATTTTGCTGCCCCCTGCAAAGTGCCACCCAAGGCAGATGCCTTGTTTGCCTCGTGGCATTAATGGGTTAAAAGTGGATGTTTTGTTTCTCACCTGTGACTGTCCCCATTGTGTGGCAATGCCTGCTACTGTCTTCGGGAACAGCCAATTAACCTCTGTGGAATTGTGTTTGCACTCTGGAAGTCCACGTCACATTCCAAGGATTGAAGGTTGCAAATGGTTTTCCCTGAAGTTTAATTGCTTTCCCCTGGGGTCAATTGCCCACTCACTCCCCCGTTCCAATTTTATCGTGTAGTGGGAAAATATCCATTCCATGTCCACCACATAATACTCTCATCTCATTCTCAATATAGTCAATGTGTGTGTTTGTGATGTTGCAGATTTTAGACTGTAAGTACTCACTGTACTGAACATGACACACTCAATGATCCATCCAAACGTCAGAAGAGGTATGTGAAGACTGATTGAGATGGAAGATGAGTTTTACCAACGGCCAGTGTACAGACCATTTCACGAACCATCATTGGAATACAACGGATCGATCGTGCTGCTGTACAATAAAGTTTATGTATTTCTGGATTTTTTCTGGATTGTTGGTGTATTTTGCTTGAGTTGTTATTATTTTTGCTTGCTTATGGTGCCGAGGGTGCCCTTGAATCAAACCAATATAGTAGTTCAAGAGCACTTCAAGATGTCATTAAGGAATTGATCATGCCAGTGCCAAGTTGACCCTAGATAAGTTGCATGTGAAGCCTACCATTAGCAAACATTTAAACACTATGACTACTCTAACCGTATTACTTAGGAGAGAATGTGAAGGGAGTGCAGTGCACTGCTCTTGGCACTATTACTACAAGTACAGGGTGCGATTGTGGTTATGGTGCTTGGATTAATCTATTAAGAAAAAAATCTTCACTCAAACACCTAAGTGAATTGGAAAAATCTGTGTTTGCTAGACAGACAGCTCTTTAAATTGGCAGCCTTATATCATATTTAAGGATACAGGATACAAATAGGATATTAGATAGTTGACTAATTTGGTGTCCTTAATGACGATACCACATAAGGGCACCAAATTAGGGAGATATATGTCAAAGCACTCCATCTCTAATTTGTAGTGAAACCCTTCAATAAAATCTATATTTGGTAAAACCCTAGTTTATTATTATGTGTGTATTATTATGATCCTAATGTGGGTTTACTTATTGGGATATAATAATAATACAAAGTTAGTGAGTTATACTAACCACAGCTTCCTCCCTAATTTGGTAATCATATGGCAATGCCACATAAGTATACCAAATTAGGTACATATCTCTATTCTCTAATCTCTAATGTAGGACTAGCAAACCGAACCAATGAAAGATATGTCAGCGTTTGCAGCATTCTGTATGTGCAAATGGAATTTCTGAACTGAAAATAATGTCCACTTTTTGGACAAACCAATAGGTCTTTCTGACCAATTTTTTTCTTTTTAAATTTTTAACCAAAATTTCCAGTCCTGCCCACATTAGCCTATTTTTGGTGATTACATACGAAAAGTAATCAGAAAAAAATATAAATAAAAATAAATCATGTACACTAAAATGATTTGTCTGTTCTTGGCAACCTGTCATCTATAATCCTCCACAAAGCCCCTTATTTATGGTCTGGAAAGTGCAAGGAACAACCTAAGGACACAGAGGCCCAGGGTTTTTGAATATCAGAACATCCAGGCTCAAGCTCACTGTCACAGTATACTCTTTTTTTTTTTTTAATATAGTTTTTTATTAGAATTTTGTTTCATCGTTTACAAGGAAATGAACAGTGGGTGATTTATGGCATCACAAGAATAAAAATGGTTTTGATTACAAAGGTAACAATAAATAGAACAGTACGGTAACAAGTAATTGTATACAAGAGTTCCTATACATCGTTTGGTTGTATGAGGGAGTATACACAGTGGAGATATTGTTTAATACACTCATTGTGCTTTCGGTACATTAAATTATTTGCTTGTCATGGGCATCTATTCCATTCGCCGTCACGTGGGTGTCCGTCTGTCTGTCACATAGATCTTACATAGCTATTACTGGTTGTTGTCATGTAAAGTTACCCAAGGGGCCCAGGTTGTGTGGAATATTTGTGCTGTTTTTGAGTCTGGGGTGGCCATACGTTCGGATATGTAGTATTGTTGTATTTTTTCCCATAGTTTGGCTTTGTTTGGGCAGAATGTGGATTTCCAATTAAGTTACGGGCTGCCAAAATGATGATTGTGCTCTGTTGTTTGTGTGCATATTCAAATAGTGGCGGGAATCGCATAAGTAGGAATAGTTCAGGGGTGTTCCTGGTGTGTGGAACATTGAGGGCACTTAATGTGTTTTGTACCTCTGCCCAGAGGGGTTGGATGTTGGGGCATGACCACCATATGTGTGTGTGCGTGCCTTTCTCTGCTGAGCACCTCCAGCAAAGGGTAGATGTATTGGGATAAATTTTGTGGAGAGTGTATGGAGTTAAATGCCATCTGTACAGCAATTTTCTATGTGCTTCTTTATGGGTGTAGCACTTAGTCAATTTAGATATGTCATTCAGTGCGTGGATCCATTCGTCATCTTTGAGTTGGATAGCGCATTCTGTTTCCCACATTGTTTTGCAATGCGGTGTAGTGTTGGTTAGGGTATCATCCCAGGCCTTATAGCATAGGGAAATATTTTTCTTTTTCATAGGGCCTTTCCAGCATCTTTCTATTATCGCTTTTGCTGAAGAGGGGCTTGGGCTAGGGTTTTGTTGTTGTCTGTTTACGTGTGTGGTGATGATCCCTTTTAGTTGTAGGTATGTGAAAATAGTGTTTGCTGGTAATTCCCATTTCTGTTGTATGTCCGTGAAGGTCATTACTCCTTGTGAGTGTAATAATTGGTGAATGTGCGTAATACCTGCGTGTAACCATGTCTGGATATGCATGTCAGGTGATATGGCCCTTAGTGCGGTTAGTGGTGCGTTGGGGTGAAATGTTTCTTTGGCTCCTGCTGTATCTAGGAATGTTGACCAAATTTAGACGGTCAGTGTCATGGTAGGGAATAGGTTTGGCTTGTTTGGCCTATGTTTCCTCGGCGTCCATAGGAAGTCGAGAGTTGCGTTTTTATCCAATTGGGCTCTTTCCATGTCCACCCATTAAATATTACCCTTTTCTGAGTGTATCAGTATGCCTGATGCCAACATTGTGGCTTTGTAATACTGGCCTATGTCAGGTAGCCCCACTCCTCCGTTTTTGGATTTTTGTAGAGTAAGGTGTGGGATATGTGTGTTTTTTTGTTTCCCCATATGAATGAGCTGCAGATGTTTTGCAGGGAGTTGAGGAGTGTTTGTGGGGCCTGGATGGGAAGCATTCTGAATATGTAGAGTATCTTAGGCAATAACATCATCTTGGTTGCGTTGATTTTTCCTAGCCATGAGATGTGCGTTTGAGACCATTTTTGTATTGTTGGGGGAGTGTGAGGTGATTTCATTTCAGGATTTCGTCTAATGACAGTGCGATGTTTACGCCTAGGTAAGTTAGTGATGTCGTTCTCCAGTCAAAGGGGTAGTTATCTTTCAGTATTGTTTTGGTGGCTAAGGGAAGCCCAACAGGGAGGGCCTGGGTTTCATCTTGATTCAGGCGATAATGGGAGATGTTGCCGAATGTCTTCAGGGTTTCCATGAGGGGTGGTAGAGATCGCTGGGGGTTCCCTAATTTATCAAAATGTCATCGGCGAACAGCGCCAATTTGTATTCCTGTCCTAAAATTGTGATTCCATTTATGTTGGGATCTGTGCGTATTTTTTTGGCCAACGGTTTGAGAGGTAAAGGAGGGGGGCTAGAGGGCATCCCTGGCGCGTCCCATTTGTGATAGCGAATGGACTAGATATGAAGCCACCGTGAGCCACTTTGGCTGCTAGTGTTGTGTAAAGTGCCATGACTCCCCTGATAAATTCAACAGGGAATCCATATTTGGAAAGCACTTGCTGCATGTATGCCCAGTTGAGTCGGTCGAAGGCCTTCTCCGCATCTAGTGCTAGGAGAAGACCTCCGACCGAATCTCTTCCCATTGTGGTCAGTATGTTGAGAGTTTTTTTCGGGTGTTGTCTGAGCCCTGTCTCCCTCCAACAAACCCGGATTGGTCATTGTGGACCAATTTTGCTATTATCGGTGCTAATCTGTTGCTTAATGTTTTTGCAGATAGTTTGGCGTCGCTGTTTAGGAGAGATATTGGTCTAAAGTTTTTGCAGATGTTCGGGGGTTTACCGGGCTTGGGTAGAGTGGAGTTGTGGGCTAATAGTAATTCTGTTGGTAGAGTTCCTTTGTCACTTCAGTTTTGGTATAAGTTCAGGAGGTGTGGTGTTATGTGTTGGGAGACCATCTGGTCCTGGTGCCTTCATTGGTAGGTCTGCTATGGCTTTGGATATTTCTTCGGGGGATATTGGTTGTTTGAGTTGGTGTATGTTGTCTTGTGTTAGGGATGGTAAGTCAATATCAGCTGAGGTGGGTATTTTCATAATAGTTGGCGAATTCATTTACAATTTGTTTCGGATCTAAAAATTTTAAACCATTGCTGTTGCTAAGGGAGGCAATCTTGGAGGCGATTGTTTTTTGTTTGAGTTGTGCAGCCAGTTTTGCTCCGGCTTTATTACCATAGGTGAAGTATTTGTGTTTAGTCTTCTGTAGTATGTGTGTGGTTTTGGCCAATTCAAAGTCTCTTTGTTGAGATTGAGCTTTTAGTAAAGCTGCTTGTGTGGTAGGTGTTTGGGATTGTTTATTTTTATGTGTTACTGCGATTATCACTTCTATCAATTTTAAGTATTGGGCTTGATGGGCCTTTTTGGCCTGGCTTGCGTGTTTTATGAAGCTGCCCCTAATCACAGCCTTATGGGCTAGCCATAGGTGTGGTGTCTGATTGTGTGTTATCTGTGAAATAGTTTTGTAGATCTGTTGTAATATGTGATATCACTACCGGATCATTGAGCAGAGACTCGTTTTAATCTCCAGGTCGATCTGCCGGTAGCAGGGAATTGTTCGGTCAGAGTCAGAGTGATGGGGGCATGTTCCGACTAGGAAATAACTCCAATATCTGCGTTTATTAGTCTCGTTAGTGACGTGGTTTTAATTAAGAATCTATCAATTCTAGAATAGCTGTTGTGTGCAGCAGTGTAACAGGTATAATCTATTTCTGCCGGGAGTGATATCCTCCATGGGTCTACTAAGTTATGTGTTGTTAGTGTTTGACAGATTTGGGATGTTTGTTTATGACGTTGTTTTAGTGTTGTGGTGGTTACCCTTGTTGAGGTAGATGCGTCCATATTTACGTCCAGGAGGAAGTTAGTATCGCCTCCAAGAATTACCTCCCCAAAGCTGTACCTTGACAGGAGACAAAACACATTATCCATGAATACAGGTTGACTTTCGTTTGGGCTATATACATTCATCAACGTATATGGTTGGTTATTGAGACGACATAGTAATATCAGATATCTACCCTTTTTGTCTTTGATTTTGCGAATGAGCTTGAAGACAACAGATTTATTTATTAGGATCGATACCCCTCTTTTTTTTTATGGTAGCAGGTGTGGAAGTCAACAGGGAACCAATGGGAGGCAAATCTGGGTGTGGATCCCCACTTAAAATGGGTTTCCTGAAAAAAGGCCACTTGTGCCCCCTGCCGTTTGGCCTCTTGGAGTCTGCGTTCGTTGGGTGTATTTAAACCTTTGACGTTTAGAGAGAAGAATTTTAGTGGCATATTGCTTGTCTTTATGATGATGATATGTGTGTATACGCCTATGTACCTTCTCCAGTAAAGGAGTATTTTGGGTGTTATATATTGTTACCGAGACTGTGAGAGGTAACTTTGTTGGGTACGGGGATAGGGTTGGGGTAAAACTATGTACACTTGCCCGTTAGCCACTAGGGCCTGATGCAACAGTGTGCAGACGGGTATTTGAAGGCTCACTGGTGGGCTGGTTTCGGGGGTTAGTGGTGGCTTGGTGTTTAGGTAAATTTGTACTTTTAAGTGAGAGAGGTGACTATAGTCGTAATCTATACAATCGTAATCTAAACAATAGCAGTTGTAACAATCTAAGTTTAAGCAGTGTGAGTATTCCGCCATTTGTGGGTCTATGCTAAAAGGCCACTTGCGCGATACAATTACCCTTTTTTTTAAATCTTTTTTTTTTTTTTTTGTACATTGGATCATTTAACCCAGTTAAATAGCAATACAACAACATTAATGCAAGTGCAATGCGTTACGTGTCTTGGAGCAGAGTAGGATGATGTTCAAGGCTGGTAGTTTCTGCGGCCTTGTGGAGTATTGTTGATCCACGGGACTTGTTGCCAGTCTCTCGCCATTTTGGCGGTGGCGGTTAATCGGTCTTTTGTTTGTCATTCTGCGGAGCAGGGATATGAATGTTCCAGTCTTACAAATCTGTATGCCGTCTTCAGGCGTGAGGATTGTGCGGTCTGCTCCGTTGCATTTGACGAGCAGTTTGGTAGGGAATCCCCATTTGTATAAGATGTTGGTATTTCTGAGGGCTGTCGTGATCGGTGTGAATGAGCGTCTCTTGTCATTGTTGCTGCTGAGAGGTCAATAAACAATTTTATGTCCATGTATTCTTCTGGGAGAGATGAATTAAGTCTTGATGTCTGCATTATTTGGTCTTTGACCGTGAAATAGTGGAGTCTGGTTATGACGTCCCTTGAGGTAGTTGTGGGCAGATGTCTTGGTTTGGGTAGCCTGTGGGTTCTGTCCAAGCGAAGATCTGCATCTGTTAATTATGGGATTAGACATTTGAACAACTTCTGTACGTAGTGTGCGAGATCTTGTGGACCTATATTTTCAGGTATTCCACGTATCCTTATGTTGTTCTGTCTGTCTCTATCCTCATTATCTGCAATTTTTCCTTCCAGGTATTTAACTTTGTTTTCCAGTGGTGTGTGTGTATCTGCTAGCTCATTGTGGGCTGTTAAAATACCCGCTGTCTTTTCTTGTAGGTGGGCTGTTCTGTCCCCTATTACTTGTAACTCAGCTCTAATGTCTGCTGCTATGCGTTGGAGATCTGAGAATAAGGCTGACTTTAGTTTGTCAAGCATGGTACTCACTGAGGCATTTGTGGCAGGGATAGAGGTTTCACTGCTGTGGCAGCCCTGGATGTCTTCTGCTTCTGCCTCATATGTGGGTGAACCATGCGTTCCGGCGCCATCTTGGTCGCATGAGTGCTCCGTTTGTTGCAAGCTTAGATGTGAGTTGATCGTTTTCTGTTTTAGTTTCTTAAAGGATTTCGTTGCCATTGTGTTCAGGGTAGGACTGGAGGTTAAATGGGCTATTTTTGGTGGCAGAATTGCTGTGTTCCACGCTGTGGGGCCCACTGTTTCGGCGGAGCTCTCTTTCTATGCGACTGCTTCCATGCGGTCCGTGGCCACGCCCCCCCACAGTATACTCTTTTAAACTATTAAAAAATATCTTTAGCATAAAGAACGGATGTGTATAGTCACGTATTAGTGAACAAAAAAAGTCCTCACTTGCTTTGTTGCATATTGTAGCTCCCTAACAATACTAATTATTCTAAGTGAATCAGCCAACACATTTAAGGGAACATTCACATGGAATAATCAGCACATATTTAATTTTGAATGATTAATGCTTCAGGCTCCATGACAGAGTGGAGTTGGCAGTATTATCAATACAGTTTGTATTCTTTCATGTGGTACGTCTAAGTGGAAGTGTGAAGTTTACACCTAGGTAACAACACTTTTTTAAATTATAGAATAATGGGCTTGTGGCTGAAAGACATGTATAAATATATCTTTTGAAACATGTTTCTTTGAAACAAAAAGATGCATTGTGATAATTTATCCCTGCCTGTTAAATGTATAAAAGGACCGTTTGTATTAAGTTCATGTAAAAACAAAATAAGTGTATGTATTAAAATAATGAAATCATATAAACAATATACTCTTTTTTTTTCTTCTTTATTGAGATTTTAAGTTCAACAGTAGTGCAACAAAGATAACAAAAAAAGAGTAAAAAGAGATATCATAAACCTAGTCACAGGGTTTTATGGGTAGGCCAAATATTCTTCCACCCAAAATCTGACTGGAGATGAACTAGCAAAGTTCTGCTTACCACTAAGATGGGATCAGTCACTAAAGGTGACAATCTGTTGTGCAATACTGCCCTGTGAGATTTTCTGATATCTTTTTAAATGTTTTTTATTGCCAGTCATTTTTTTATATCTTTTTACCTTCTCCACTGATTTTGTGGGTTAACTCCCGCAAGGTCTATGTTTTGGTTTTCTTTATTGTAAAATGTGACAGATCTTTACATTGGTCTGAGCAATTGTGAAAGTAAAAGGTTTTCACTGTCTCAAAATACCTATGTGGGTTGCAGTACAAATTCATTCATTTTATTTATTTGCTTCTAGTAAGCTCCAATCTTTAGTTATACCTATTTACCAACGTCTAAGCGAGTAACAGCTTAGTTTACAAAACAAAAACAGATTCTCAAATCAATTGGATTTGGTAACTGTTCTATCAAGAATGAAGATATGGCCCCTCTTCTCCACATCCCCTGAAGCACAATGGAGTGCTTCTTCTAATCATTTGCACAATTCGTGAAGGATGGAAACATCACCTTGACACTACCAAATAACTGCAAAAGGCGATCTGCAGGGTGTTTTAAAAAAATCTCATTTCAGGTCTTCATATCCAGAGCCTCACCCAAGTCCTCCTTCTATACAGATCAAGGGGGTCATAAAATATTGTACATTTTGCACAAGGAGTGTAACAGACCAAAGTACAAGTATAGCAATTGACAAGTATCTTCATAAAAAGAGGGTGTGACTTTGGAACACTGCCTGGCAAAGAAGGTTTCAAAAGGTTGCAACAGAAATATTCAGGGGGTGACAAATTCATAGACGCCACCAAGTACACCAGTGTTACAGAGGCCCCTCTTAAGAGCAAATGTCTAAGCTCTGTAATCCTCATTATCCACCAATGAAAGGGCTGGTGATACTGACCTGCAAAGTATAATGGAGAACTTGCATGTTGGAACATTAGAACAATACTCAATTCAACCATAGGCGTGTGCACGGGGTGTGCCGGGACTGCCTGGGCACACCCTAATCCTTGCGCATGGATTGAGGCCGGCAGGGGAGATCACAGGATCTCCCCTGTCGGTCCATGCAGAGCCAGCACTATCCGAGTGCCTCCATGGGCAGGTGGGGAGATCAAAGATCTCTGTTACAGTCCCAGAGGCAGGTGAGGACCCGGGGAGCTCTAGCCAGCAGTTCCCCCGGGTTCCTCTTGCGAAGTCGGAGCGTTGCAGTGGCACCGCTCAGATCTTGCAAGAGTGAACTCTAGCCCTGCAGGCTAGAATTCACTCTCACCACTAAGACCACCAGGGATCAGGGATGACAGCAAGGAAAGGTAAAAAGGATCCCCCTCCCTTCTTACCTTTTGCCTGGGAGGGGGATCCTTTTTACCTTTCCTAATCTGTCCCCCCACACACAATCACTCCAAACAAATTCACACACACAGCACCCTCACACACACACACACACACACACACACACACACACATACACACAGCACACTAACAGCACACTAACAGCACACTAAAAGCACCCTCACACACACAGCACACACACAGCAGCCTTCCACACACAGCACCCTTACACACACAGCACCCTCACAAACACACAGCACCCACACACACAGCACCTTCACAGCACACTACCAGCACTATCACACACACACAGCACCCTCACACACACACGACACCCTCACAGCACATTACCAGCACTCTCTCACACACATACACAGCACCCTTACACACACACACACACACACACAGCACCCTTCCACACACACACACACAGCACCCTCACACAGGGGCGGACTGAGAACCCTCAGGGCCCCCGGGCAAAATAAATCAAGGGCCCCTTACAGGCCCCACCCATACTCTGCAGCAAGCGCCACCCTTGTCCCGCCTCCATGCACCGCCTCCAGCCACACCCTACACAATCTTTAGACACAAGGAACAAAAGTGCAATAAGCCCTTCGAGGCCCCAGTAAAGACTACAATTGAGGGCTAATGGGCCATGGAGGAGGGTCTTTCTAGCAGAGGCTATCTCAGTGTCCTTTAGAGAGTGTGTTAGAAAGAATCCCCTCCAAGCCCCATTAGAGACTACAATGGAGTCTAATAGGCTTGGAAGGGGGTCTTTCTAACAGAGGCCATCTCAGCATCCATTAGATAGCCCCTGCTGGAAACAGTCGCCTCCAGGCCCCAGTAGAGACTACAATTGAGGGCTAATGGGCCATGGAGGGGATTTCTAGCAGAAGCTATCTCAGTATCCTTTAGAGAGTGTGTTAGAAAGAATCTCTTCCAGGCCCCATTAGAGACTACAATGGAGTCTAATGGGGCCTGGAGGGTGGTCTCTCCAACACTCTGGTTCATATTCACAATATAACAACACAACATAGCTCGCTGATACCTAGGCCAAGTTGGCTCCTCTTACCTTAATTACTGTTGCTGGCTGGCAGTCTGTGGGCTTACTGGCTGCGGCTGGCAGGCTGTGGGCTTGCTGGCTACTGCCGGCAGGCTTTGGGCTTGCTGACTGCGGCTGGCAGGCTGCGGCTTGCTGCCTGCGGCTGGCAGGCTGCGGCTTGCTGCCTGCGGCTGGCAGGCTGCGGCTTGCTGCCTGCGGCTGGCAGGCTGCGGCTTGCTGCCTGCGGCTGGCAGGCTGCGGCTTGCTGCCTGCGGCTGGCAGGCTGCGGCTTGCTGCCTGCGGCTGGCAGGCTGCGGCTTGCTGCCTGCGGCTGGCAGGCTGCGGCTTGCTGCCTGCGGCTGGCAGGCTGTGGCTTGGTGGCTGCGACTAGCAGGCTTTGGGCTTGCTGGCTGTAAGCCTGTGGCTTGCTGTAGGCCTGTGGGCCTGCAGCTGGCAGGCTGTGGCTTGGTGGCTGCGACTAGCAGGCTTTGGGCTTGCTGGCTGTAAGCCTGTGGCTTGCTGTAGGCCTGTGGGCTGGCTACTGGCCTTTGGGCTGGCTAACTGGCTGGCTACTGGCCAGCCTGTGGGTTGGCTGGCCGGCCTGTGGGCTGGCTACTGGGGCACTTGTAGATTATTTAAAGAAATAATCCATGCACAATAACCACTACTGCTCCAGAGTAAGTAGTCAAACTGTTTAAGAACAGTTTGACAACTTACCTGGGGTCTGCTGGGATATGGGGCTGTAGTAGGGAATAGGAGCAGTGGTGCAATGTGTGTGAAAGGTTCAGTGTATGTGTGGGGGTGTAGTGTGTGAATGTGTAGGGTGTGTGGGGCAATGTGTGTATGAGGGGGCTGTGTATGTGTGTGGCAATGTTAGCATGGGGGGCTGTGTATGGGGGCTGTGTGTATATGGGTGGGCAGTGTATGTGTGTGTGTGAGGCAATGTGTGTAAATGTGTATGGTGTATGTGGGGGCAGTGTGTGTGTATGGGGGGCAGTGTGTGAATGTGTATGGTGTGTGTGGGGGGGCAGTGTGTTTATTGGGCTAGAGTTCACTCTCACCACTGCGACCACCAGGAATCCCTGGGGGTCACAGTGTTGAGAGTGAACTCTAGCCCGTAGCTCCAGGGTTAGAGTTGACTCTCGCAAGAGCAGTAACGTTGCCATGGTAACCCGCGGCAAAGGTCTTTGCTCACGCAAGAAGGACCCAGAGGAGCTGCAGGGTGAACTCCCAGGTCCTCTCTTCCTCCCTCCCCTGCCCGCATGGTGCCTGCGGAGAGGGGAGGGGGGGCAATTGCCCTGTTGCCTCTGCTCTCCCTCTTTCTCCCCCCTCCCCATCTTTCTATTGCCCCTTCTTTCTCCCCCTCCCCCTCCCCATCTCTGTTCCCCCCTTCCCATCTCTCTGTTCCCCCCTCCCCATCTCTCTGTTCCCCCTCTTTCTCCCCTCCCCCATCTCTCTATTGCCCCCTCTTCCCCCATCTCTCTGTTCCCCCCTCTTTCTCCCCCCTCCCCATCTCTCTGCCCCTATTTCCCTCCCCATCTCTCTGTTCCCCCTCCCCATCTCTCTGCCCCTTTCTCCCCCCCTCCATCTCTATTCCCTCCTCTTTCGCCCCCTCCCATCTCTCTGTTCCCTCTTTCTCCCCCCTCCCCATCTCTCTATTGCCCCCTCTTTCTCAAGTCTGAGGGGGCCGGCTGCGTTTCATGCTGGAGCCGCCGGACCGGGTGGCAGCCCCGCCGGTCCGACGGCATTCCTCTCACTAACGCTGAAGGAGGAGGAGCATGTCTCCCTGTCATGCTCCTTTGCGGTTCCCACATCCTGTGCTGAGAGACATGCTCCTCCTCCTTCAGCGTTAGTGAGAGCAATGGCACTCTGCTTTAGTCGCTCACAAACTCTCAAGCATCAACGTCAATATCGCTGCTCTCAGTGAAATCCATCTTCAAGTTGTAGGCAGCCTTCAAGAGCTTGGTGCAGGATACATTCTCCATTGGTCCCGCAAGCAAGAGACAGAGAAACACCTCTGTGATGTTGGCTTTATGATCAGGAACTTCAATACCTCTTAACTTGAAAACATGGCATCGGGTCACTCAGAACGCATCATCTCCATGCACCTCTACCTTCAAAACAAGCAGCATTTCATTAAGTCATGCTGAAATGTTCTACACTGAACTATGTAATCTCGTGCAGAATGTCCCTGTGGACAACAAGGTTAACATCCTTGGCAATTTCAATATCAAAGAAGGCAAGTACTCAGAGGCATGGAAAGTCTTGACAAACGTGGTGTTTGAAACTGCAGTGACAATGGGCAACTTCTGCTAGAGTTTTGTGGTATCAGATTGGTAATCTCCAGTCAGCTGAGGTAAATTATGAATTTCAAGCAAGTCTTCAGTTTAGGCTTGAGGATTCCATCTGCCTTGTGGACCCCTCCTCAGAAGTGCTTTGGGAATTTCTAAAATCTAAAATCTGCCATCCTGCAGACCTACATAAAGGTTTTATGGCTCACCACAAACAGCAATAAAGATTAGTTGGATGAGAACAATAATGAGATCCAAGAATTGCTGATAAAGAAGAGATCATCTCACCAAGCGCACCTTGCTCAGCCATCTTGTTCTGACAGGAAAAGCAGCCTTCAGACATCCAGAAACCTTGAGTGCTAGCTCAGAGTGATTAAGAACAAGTGGTGGACAAACCTTGAGAGAGAACTCAGCTTTGCGTAGATGTTGGTGACTACAGAGGGTTATATGAATCTCTGAAGGCAGTGTTTGGCACTTCAATGCAGATAGTCAAACATTCCTCACAGACAAGGCATCCTTCCTGAACTGGTGGTTGGAACATTTCCAGTCTCTGTTCAGCACCACCGGCACAGTTAAATTTTTTGCACTCCATCACATTCCACAACAGCCAAAAAAAACTGACTTGGATGAGATTCCATTCTTAAAGCGACTGTTTTAAGGCTATTAAGCAGCTGGAAGGTGGCAAGGCTGGAAGTATGGGGCCCAGCATTACACACTAAACCTCATGATTTCTTTGTTTGCTGCTGGGAACAAGGCAAACCATGATAGGACCTCCTTGACTCTATAATCATCACCTTGTATTAGAACAAGGAAGAAAAATCTGACTGCTCCAAATGTTGGGGGATAACACTGATCTCTGTTGCAGGAAAAATCATTGCAAGGGTACTTTTGAACATACTGGTACCCAACTCTTTCCAGAGAGCCAATGTAGCTTTAGAGCTAGAAGAAGCACCACCAACAGTATTTTAGACAGCTCCAAAAAAGGAAGGAAACAGAACAAGGCATTGTACATGACATTTGTTGACTTCACAAAAGCATTCGACCATTTGAGCAGAAAAGGTATGTAGCAAATCTTGGAATGCCTAGGATGTCCCCCTGAATTCCACAATTTGATCATTCAGCTACACAAAGGTCTACATGGCCAAGTCAGACACAGCAATAAGATCTTGGAATCCTTCCTCATAGGGTTAAAACAAGGTTGTGTTCTTGCTTCTCTGTGTTCTTGTTCTCTTCACAATCTATTTTAGCTTGATGCTTCAAAAGGCCACTGTAGACCTTGGTAAAGAGGATTGTGTGTATATCCTTTACCACACTGATGGCCTTAAGTAACTAAGGGCCCACACCAAGACAGTTGACAAGCTCTTCAGAGAGCTGCTTTTCAGTGATGATGCTGCCCTTGTTTCCCACACTGTGACAGCCCACCAGCAAATAATGTCTGGCTTCACAGAGGCTGCTGAGCTATTTGGATTAGAAGTCAGCATGAAGAAGACAGAAGTCCTCTACCAGCCTACACATCATGGTAGTTTACCATCACCCCCGCATCACCATTGGTGATCATTGCTGAAGACAGTCCATCAGTTCAGCTACCTTGTGTCCATCATCTCTTCAGATGCCAAGATTGACAATCAGACCGATAGCAGACTGACAAAGTCAAATAGGGCATTTGGAAGAATGTAAAAGGGAGTCTGGAACAACAAACATCTGAGGAGAGGCACAAAGATCAGTGTGTACAGAGCTGTCATACTGACTACTCTCCTGTATGGCTCTGAGTGATGGGTTACTTATCACCATCACTTTTAACTTCTTGAGCACCTTAACCAATGCTACCTCTGCACAATCATTATCATCAATTGAAATGACTTCATTACCAACATGGAAGTTGTCAAACAGGGAGATACCACCAACATCGAGGCAATGCTTTTGAAGTTGTAGCTTCCCTGGGCAGGACATGTTTCCAGGATAAAAAATAATTGCCTGCCTAAGGTTGTGCTGTATGCTTAACTTACCACTGAGCATCACAACAGAGGATAAATATGTAAAGTTTGGAGAATAGGATATTACAGTTACATAGTTG